TGACTTCTTCGAAGGCTTTTTCTTGTTCTTCGGTCCATTCGAAGGGTACGTCCTTTCTGGTGAGCTTGATGAGGGGGTTGATTTTGGCGGAATATCCTTTGAGGAATCGTCGGTAAAAGTTGACGAATCCCAAAAAGGATTGGATGTCCTTGACATTTTGAGGTCGGGGCCAGTCCTTGACGGCCGCGATTTTTCCATTTTCCATCCGGATCTTTCCTGGTGTGATGGTGAATCCTAAGAAGTCGACTCGTTGACTGTGGAATACGCTCTTTTCGGGTTCGACTAGTAGTTTGGCTTCTTGTAGTCGTTGGAGTACGGTGTGAACGTGCTTCTCGTGTTCCTCGGGGGTACGAGAGTAGATGAGTATATCGTCTAGGTAGACGACAACGAACACATCTATAAATTCTCTCAGGACGTGGTTGATCATTGTCTGGAAGGTGGCGGGTGCATTGGTGAGTCCGAAAGGCATGACTAGATACTCGAAGTTGCCTTTCCTGGTGCGGAAGCAAGTCTTCCACTCCTCGCCTTCCTTCATCCTGATCAGGTTGTAGGCTCCTTTGAGGTCGATGGCTGTGAACCATTTGGCGTGGTACAGCTGGTCTCGTAATTCTGAGATAAGAGGTAGCGGGTAGCAGTTCTTGATTGTAATATCGTTGAGTTGTCGGTAATCCACGCAGAGTCGTAGTTTGCCATTTTTCTTTGGTACAAACAATATTGGGTATCCTGCAGGGGATGTCGATGGTCGGATGTAACCTTTGCGTAGGTTTTCTTCGAGGTATTTGTCAAGTGCCTCGCGTTCCGTTTCATTCAGTCCGTAGATTTTGTGAAACTTCGGGTGTGCTCCTTCTTTGAGCGGGATCTCGTGATCGTACGAGCTATGTTCAGGCAAGCCGGTTTCCAATTCTTCAGCAAAGAGTTTGGTGTACTTGCGGTATTGTTCTGGGATCGGAGAGAGGCGTTCTTCCTCTCGTTGATCGTTGATGAATTGTTCGAATTGTTCGTCCTTCGTGGGCTCGATTCTTTTGACGTATGCGACGTATCTGTGTCGCTTTGATTCACTCGGGGGTTGCGGCTTGCAACGCTGCCTCGCAGTCGAATCTCTCCATTGGAGTTGGCCTGTTCTCCAATCTATGCTCGGGTTGTGTTGTCGTAACCATGGGATTCCAAGGATGACATCCATGTCTCCTATTTGTGCTATGTCGAAGATCAGATGTTCTTGACGGTCATGGGTAACCATAGAGAGTTGCGCGGTTTCTCTGTCAATGGTGCCTCCACCGTACTCAACTGTTTCTCCTTCCACGTTTTGCAGGGTGTATGGTTCCTCCTTGAATCTCCATGTGATTCCTCGTTGATTCACCAGTCGTGGTGACATCAGGTTTGCTTGTGCTCCACTGTCAATTACGACCTGAGTGGGCTGTCCTTCGATGTAGACGCTCAGAACCAGGTGTGAGGCGTCTGTCGTCGTGGCGAGGTATAGGGACTTCCTCAGTGTCGCCTTCTGCTGTCCCTGTGCAGTTGGCGTCCCTAGTTTTTTGAGTAGTGTCGGTGGGCTTGCTTCCCCTTCATGTCCACCGGTTTTATCTCGGGGGGGTTTGTTCCCTAATCTGGGTTCTCCAGGTTTTGGCTTTGCCTACGTAATGCATCATACATTCGTCGTGCATGCATTTGGACCAGTGTTTGATCAGTCCGTTGTAGCACAGAACCGGGTGTTCCGGACTGGGTTGCATGTGTAACCAGCTCGCTTTGAATTCCTTGACTATCCATGTGCCGAGTTGGTGGTGGAGGTAGATCATGGGAATCGGCTGCTGCTTCCTTCGTCGAGGGAAGAAGTCGTTAAGTTCCTTGTCCTGGAGGTGGAACTGGCATTCGTCGTAGATGCAATCGGCCCAGAATACTTCGGTGTGGCGTGCGTGTTTTTGGTCGAGGTACTCGTGGTCTCCGAATATAGGTTCCTCTAGGACGGATACTACTGGTTTCCCGTCGATTCCGGTATCGTCTGTTCCATAGAACCAGACTTCTTGATCGTCCTCATTCTTTTCGTACTGTGGTCGGTACTCAGGGTAGTCCTTTTTGGTGGGCCAAGCCCTTTTGACCATCGGGTCGTCGCTGAAGTCGACATTCGCTTGCGCAGCTATTGGTTCGTCCGGGTCGTAATGAGTTGGGCTTTGGTTGGCCTCGTAGAGCTGTGCTTCCCTTTCACGGAAGACTTCTCGTCCAGGGTCCGATTCGTCAGAGGATTCTTCTTCTTCTGAGAATGGTGTGAATGTAATCGTCCTGGTTTTCTTCTCAATATCCTTGTAGGATGTCGATTGCGTAGAGGTTTGGCTTGATCTTCTGAGATCCATGAGTTGCTTGGCAGCCTTTCTTTCGAGCTTGCTCGAGGGTTCGAACTCATCAAGCGATTCCTCATGTTCTTCTTCAGAGCTTGTTTTCTCGCCAAGTACTTCAATCGACTCCTGGGGTGTGGGTTCCCTGAACCCGAGTTTTGGAGGAGAAAATCTGGGTCGTCGTGGTTGCTTCCGTCCCACGGCTACTATCTTAGTGGGCTTCCCAGGTTTGATGCTCCTTTCCTCCTTGAGAGCGTTCTCGAAGTCCTCCTCGAGTGCCCATTGTTTCTGGAAGTTCCCTTGGGCTTGTATGCGTAGTTGGAGTCGTTCCTCGATGACTTTCAGGGTGTCGGGCATACAGGGGTTGTCTTCCTTGCTTTGTGCAGCTTCCTTGGCTCGGATGAGCTTGGTGATTAGCTGTTGGTTTCGTTGCTCCAGTTGCTGAACCGTGGTTTGTTCTGGGTGGCCTCCTTTCTGGGTTCGTCGGGAGATTGCCACAGTTCTGGGTTTGGGCTGTTGTGGGTACCATCCGGCTTGCTCTTTCAGTTCTTGATGAACTAAACAGTTGTCGTCGAAGCAGGTGGTCCAGTTCCTTTGTTCGTGGGGAACTTCCCTTCTTGCTACGTTGGCTTTCCTAGTGCCTTCAGGTACGGGTCGGTTCTGGAGTCGCTTAGGTTGTTTGCAGTCTCTAGCTATGTGGCCGGGCTTCTCGCAGTTGTAGCATTTGAAGTCCTTCGGATCCCGGTGGTTCTGGTGAGGCTTCCTGGTTGCAGCACCAACGTCCATGGGTCCGCTGTGTTGCCCATAGGAGGTGCTCGGCTTACTGTGTTGTTGGTTGTTCTGCCAGTACGAGTTGGGTTGCGAGTTCCTAGGTCCCTGCGGCACATACTTTTTGCTGGTATTCGGCTGAGGGCGGCGTGCTTCTCCTTTTTCCTTTCGCCGTTCGTACAGCCTGGTATCGATTCTGACTGCGATTTCCACGTATTGTAGGAAGTCGTTGGGTCGGTCGAGCTTGGATAGCTCGTCTTTTACTTCTTCCTTAAGTCCTTGGTAGAACATGAAGATCTTGGTGTCGTCGGTGTAATCAAGTCGTGCGCAGATTCTTCGGAACTCTGCAGCGTAGTTGGTGGCTGACTTGGTTTGTTTGAGATTTGCCAAGTCTCGCTCGGCTTGTCGTTTCTCGTCTGGGTCCTGGAATAAGGATTTCAAGGCGTACTCGAATCCTGCGAAGCTCCCAAAGATTTGCTGGGTCTCTAGGTTGCAGTGCTCCAGCGTCTCACTGTCCAGGTAGTCTTCTAGGTAGGGTTCGAACCAAGAGAGGACTCGTCCTCTGAAGAAGGTGCCTGCATGGATGATTCTCTCCGTTTCCGTACGGAAGTTGCCAGAGTGAAACGTCTGGTAGGTCCTGACCTGTATCAAGAATCCTTTAAGCGTTCCAGGGGTCCCGTCGTAGGTGGTGGGGGAGTTGAGCTTGAGTTTTTCCCGCCCATCCACTGGGGTCGAGATGATGTTGGCAGCAGCTCGGAGAGTGCGAACTTCTTCCCTGAGATTGTTGGTTTGCTGGACCTCAGCCCGAAGTTGGTCAAGGAGTGCCGCGTTGTTGTTGAACATCTGTTGCATGTCCGCGATGTCCTTGTGGGCCTTCTTGAGTTGCTTGGCCATTTCAGCATTGTCGTCCTCGTCGCTAGAGGATTCGGCGCCCTTCATTTCCTGGTCCAAGCTCATGGGTTTAGGGGGTGCGACCGCCTTTCCCTTGGATCCGCTAGATGAAGTCGGGGTGGCTTTGGAGGACATCGTTACTGTTTGGTGAGTATCAAGGTCAACTTACTAAACAGGAGCAATCAAAGTGTTACGGTCAGATATCCGACAGTGGTGTTTTCTGCTAATAGGCAGCTGAGGTCGATACTCGGTAACAGTAAGGTAAGTCTTGTTGGTAATCTTGCTGGTCTGTTGGTGTCTGGTGATCAGTCAGGCACGTCTAGGCGTAGATAGCTTTATAGCTTCACAACAGAAGGATAATCTAAGAGTCACTTATGAGAGAGTGAATCACGAAGTTGATTGCTGAAGAGCTATGGAGAGTCTTTGAGCCCCAGGCTCAAGTCCTGTCTATATACTGATGTCTCCCTATCGTGATGCTGTTGATGGTGATCAACTAGAGTGGGTCCGGGGTGAGCTGCTCACTTGGTGATCGCTCCCAGTGATCACCTTATCTCTTGATCACTTTCTTATCATCACGTGATCTGTCCATAGTTCTTCCGTTCCGACCCTTGCCCGTAAGCGCCGTGATCATGCATACATGAGCCCGAATGTCCCCTGGTCCCTCGTGGGTTCGTTCCAGGTGGTTACGTTAACCAACGCTTTCCTGGGTCGTAACAGTGACGCAGCAATCGCGTCTCAAAAGTAGACACACATACAGAAGGCTGCTCTCCATACAATTAGACGTCGCTTGTCGATTACACTCCAAACCCCTAATGGCTGTCGAGAAGGCAAACCAGGCGAGTGGCGCATTGAGTCTGCTTGTCGGACAAGGATCGTGTCGAGGAGGGTGTCACGGCCATGGATACGCCACTGAGCGAAGTATTTCATCAGTCCGCCCTCCCGCCATTTTGGAAGGTCATCGCACCGTACCTCGCCTCTTTCCATGCAAGGCTTTTGGTAACGCATCTAGCCAGAATGGAAATTCATGGCCTCGTGTCTCTCAACATCACGGTCATATTCACTTCAGGTGGGGGCGGGGTGAGCGGCAAGAACTTCGATCGCCTGAAGCATTTCGTGTGCCGCAATACGGACATTCGCCCATCAGAGATCGAGGACGACGCTCCCATGGTGGTCGGTCAGCAGACTCTAGAGACGACATTGGCTCGCCTCGGCATCTCGGCTGAACGAGTGCGCTCTGCAAGTCGTTCGAGAGACAAACTTGCGACTGTCGTAAACTGCCAAGCTGCGGGCACAGCCGATCAACACGGCAGCAGCAGAAGAAATACTATAGACACATCACGGTGGAGGAAGACAGCGAATGAATTGCAACCGGTCATCGACCGCATCGGTTCGAGCATCGAGAGGCTCAATCATCAATGGCGGATCTTGGACGACGCACAAAAGCGACTGGAAAGATTGTCTATCTCAACCTCAGATGAGGTCGACTGGGACGATCCAGTCATAAGGATTCAATCGGAGCTGGATCTCTTTGACTGTGAGGAAACGGACTCATGACTCTCGAGTCACTTTCTTTGAAGACAGTAGGGCTGTGTTGCTTGGGTTCCTTGTAAAGGCAATAACCAATTTCGGGACCATTCTCGCTGTTTTACATATCTAGGTCTAGGTCAAGGTTATTGCAGTAGAAATCGTACTTGTCATGTCGCTGGCCGTCTGAGCCCGCCCTTGTGCGGATAACCTTTGCTTCCTCACTGCTGTGCTATGACTGCCCGTGCCATCACCGTCTGTCGAAGCAACGAGAGGCTGCTCAGCATCCGGCATGACCCCACAACGATGCCACCCTTTCCCTGACGAAAGACGCATTACTTGCAGCGGTCCTGCTCGCAATAGTCCAGAGGCGAAAACAAAGGAGTGTTTCCTCCGCACATGGTAGAAGATACATGATCTCTCATTTCAAGTCTGACCGGCGGTTCGCAAAGCTTCTGCGTGGCTGGGGGATTCTGTCTGGGGCTGGCGTGGGTCTGCTCGTGCGCGTCGGTGGGCATTTTCCAGCGCTCGTCGAAGGAGACTGTTTACTCGCTCTCTGGGTCTGCCGCCGACTGAATCACCAACGATTGATGGCATTGTTTAGGGAGATACAGTAAGATGGTTGACTGATGGCGGTGTCGTCGTTCTGGAATGCGGCTTGGACCTTCTTCAAATTTGTCACTGAGGTGGGAATTGAGCGAGCGAGTGCCGAATATTTTTGGTGGTGCTCTGAACAGCAGACCATGATCTGAACACACAACGCATGTAGCAGAAAGGAGCCACATCCTTTGCTAGAGCCAGAGCTGACTCCAATCACAGGCACGGCAGTTGAACAATGTTTTGTTGTGCTCACGTCGTCAGTTTTCACAAGAGTCGAAATCGCGACGGAACGAGCCTCTTCCGTAGGCGAGTCGGCAATGGAGCCTAGGCTTGCGAGCTGAGAGCATGACCCCTGCCAGGTCAAAATATAGCTCTACGTGGACGCCGTCCCAGAAGTTGAATTCGGATTTTCGACAGCGTGGACACATACTGTACATCCATACAGTTATGAGCATAAGCCGCTTCCTCTTTAGGGAAGCACACCGGATGTTTCCAGATGCTCCATATAGTGTCATTTCTTACTGTAGTTAAGGGGACTGTATACACCTTTTTGTTGAATTTTGATGGGTTTGAGCTGACTACTAAAGCCAAAAGCGGATGTTATCAGGTACAATCACATGTCTTCTCTGCTTACTCGCACTGCCATCCACCATACCATGATAGCTCCATAATTCGTCTAGATTAGGCAGCCACCGTTATTTTTGGAGATTCGGGGAGCACATTACGGCTGTTCTTGGCCTTCGAAGCATTGAGTATATGTGCAGAAGAGGAAGCAACTTATGCTCATAACTGTACATACATACAGCAACACTAGACAGAGCTTTCGAATTGGCCCAGACTCTGCTCTGTTTGAGACGTTTCCTCTTCCCCTCGTACGTACAGGGTTCGCAGAACCAAAAGAGACTTACCATTTGCGCCAGAAGTACACTTTTGGGCGCTTTCTTTTAACAGAACCAAACTCGGGTTTCTCAGTGATGGCACAAAGATGCTTATACACTCGCGACAGGCCGACGTAGTGTGCCGTTGAAACACTACCAAACCTATCGAAGATAGTTCAGCTATGATCCCAATTACAAGCAAAACCAGTAGCGACTGGCTTACGATGAAGAGTCTCATCTTTGAGACCGATGACCTCCTCAAGAAGGTCTCCAGCGAGGGTCTCTTTCTGTTCCTGGTCGGCATCGATCTCAAAAACCTTCTTGCGGGAGAGAAAGGCAAAGAATTTCACTTGCTCCTTGCACTTGGTCACAACAAACGACAGATGTCAGGTCGGTTTCCGGACGAAGATGTACGCGCCGAGCTGAGAAAGGCGTTGAACAGCTCATTTCCAGACGGCGGCAAGCTGGAGTTGATGAAGCCTATGTTCAAGATTTCCACAGCCTATACGACAATCCATCTTCATCTTGATGGCCTTCTCCGTCCGGGCTCTGGCGAAGGAGAGATAAGCATTTCCCCCCATGTTTTCGTCGAAGCGGAGAATGGCATCCAAAGGTCTATGTTTCTGTCTACACACGACTGGGCGATGCCCGCACGAGACCTAAGTTTTAGTTATGCATCCTCGAAAACCATTTCGAAAAGTGGAAAAACTATCAGTGCATTTTTTGCGGAACTTCCAGACGATCTCTGCCCCGACAACATCAGAAGCTGGATTTACGGGAAATAGATCACGGATCGGGAAGGCTTCTTTGCGAAGCGGACAGGCTTCGGAGAAGAGCGACCTACGAAGTCATTTCTTTCATATACAACAAAAGGCGCAATGGGCTTCGCCAAACCTTTTACTGAATGTGTTTTCGTACTGCTGTTGTGAAGCTTTGGCTTATGTGGCCCGCCAGGTCACGCCTGTAGTCACGACGCACCCCTGGACCAGTCAGTTGACAGAGCCAGAATCCGCCAGAGCCAGAAATGAACATAGATAGAAATGGAACAAAGTCAGACGCACACGGCCGAAAGTGGCTTACCAGTAAGCTGCCAGAGACCCATCCAGTCCCGCAGCTGTTTGGCGCCTGCTTCTCTCTCCTAGCCCTTGTCCCGTAGACACAGCTCTGTCGGCCAATGTAAGTCGACCGTGTTGGAGAACTCCGGTCTCCTAAACATGAATCAAGTAAGCCCCGATGTGGCACAGCCTGGGGCGGCAATAGACTGCCAGCTGCCCACGAGCACTGCACGTATGAAAGGCATGAATGGAAGATGATTGAATTGTTTGTTCAGAAATCGGCCATGTCTCTTCTGAAATCATGGTACGATATCTAACGGTTGTATTGGAAATCGTAGTCCGGAACGTGTTCGCAGCTCGACCAAGTAAATATTCAAGTGCATCAATCCCCCGGTTGATAATCAAGCTCCCGCAGCCAGACATTGGTCTCAAGGTACTCGCGAATGGCTTGTCCTTTCCGATACTCGCCGTACAGAGGGTGCTTTTCTTCAATCAGGAAACCTCCTGCAAGGTCGCAAAGTGCGTCCCGTGTTTCGTTTGCGGCGGATACTACGGCGCTGGTGAGAAAAGATTCGCCACCGCAGAAACAGCTCTTACCAAGAATCAACATGTCTCCCATCTTTCCAACTGCTTCTTGGACTGTGCGATCGAAGACGCGTGATGCCTCGCTCCACAGGCCTGCCGCGAGATCGGGACTGCCCACGTAAAGTCGCGCTCTCGTCCCGAAATCCCTCACACGAGTCGGCTTACCATGTGACCGACCGGTGCCGCCGTAAAGATGCTTGGTAACCAGTCGTTCGACATCGGACGCGCTCAGGATGTGCGTCGAAGCGCTTTTGGTTATCAGCTCGTCGCTGGTGCAACCCGGGATCAGCATCTTGAGATCTTCGACGGACATTCCTTGTTCCCGCATGTCATAGTAGATGGAAATCTCGAGAATCTGTTGTCGGCTCAGTCAACAAGGTCGGCCAACGCTCAGGAGGGGACTCATGTGTGTGTACGTAGCCATCGTCGAGCGTGTCCTCGTTCAGTATAGGGTTGAGGATCGACTCGGCCGCATGTACGATCCCTGTTCTGGTCAGTCCGCAAATGACGTATTGAGTGCGCAGCGCGCAGTTTCCTTGGACCTACCAAGGTTGGTTACCTGCCAAATAAGGTGTATCTGCCGCGTGCGACCTCTGCAGTGGTTGTATCCGTACACAAGCTTCTTCAGGTACGGAGCCAGCGCAGAAATCCCGTGGTCCGTAGCCACCATGAGCACCGCCTCATAGTCCCACACCGGCACGCTGACGCCGTGTGGCCCAGAGAGGAGGGCCAATCGGGGCACGACGTGTCCGTGAGAATATCGGACCAGGCTGGAAGTGAATCCTCGTCGGGGCTTGATGAAGAGATCGACGATGCTTTGTTCCGCTTCCGCCCACGAAGTCACAACGAAGGGATGGCACTCAAACAGTCGGACTCTCGGGATCCACAACAACAGATACTGGCCCGCCTCGAACTTGAGTGGCCTCGACAGCTTGATTGAGACCTGCACGGTTCCTGTAACGTGGTCGATGTAGGCTCGTCCAAGCGTTTGTCCCATAGCCTTGTTGCGAAAAGCCATCAAACAGCCCTGGACCAAGGTTGCCAGTGTCGTCACAGCAAGGTAGATGTACACCCACAGCCTAAGCCGACCAGCAATCGATAGCAAATGCAGCGCGGCCCCCACCGCTGCCAACGCAGCAAGTGCATGGTGGCTTCTCAGACAAAGTTCGTAGATGCGGCGGCGGAAAAACGGGAAAAAGGAGATTGTCGCCGCTGCTACCATTGCTATTGAACCCTGCGAGAACAGGTCAGAACTCATAAGTTGACGGGTGGGAGACAAAAAAAAAAAAAAAAAAAAAAAGGCTCCGTTACAATTAGCAGGAGAAGCTCATTGACGCCATCCGGGACCTGGGCCTGATACTTGTCGTTCTGCATGGCACTGACGATGTGGACCGCGAGAAGCATCGCTGCTACGCGACCCTGCCACCTGTGCACCGCCGCGTAGTGCCGAAAAGGTATAGCCAGTATGTCTGCCGTAAAGTCTAAGCAGGGGCTGGCAAACAGTGGGAGTGTGTTGACGAGAGCCAGGTTCCCCGAGCGGGAGAGAAAGGTTGACGGTCGGAATGCCAGGCAGAACGCGTTCACGCCCATGTACACTGTTGGAAATAGCAAGGACACGACATTCCAAGGGCCGAATAGGGAATGACGATGAAGCAGAAGTCGATAGAGCAAGTGCTTTTCGAGCAGATGCGCGAACCGTCTTCGAGCTCTGCTTGTGCGAGACAAGACGTTCACAAGAACGAGACCGGCAGTCATGCCTGCAAGGCAGATTGCATACAAGGTGGTGACCCAATCCATGGCGAAGTCGTGGTCAGGGTGGCAGAAGGGCACGGAAAATGATTTCGCGCGGGCTGCATGGAAGAACGAGACGAAAAGAATGGATTGGAAAAGAATGGATTGTTGAAAACTACAGTAGAAGCCTGAGAGTCTGGTACGAAAGAATATGTAGGGTTATCTGTTACGGAGCAGGAAGTGGCTGACAGAAGCTCGATTCGGCGCCGGCGTTGTCTAGGCCTTGCACTCATACTCTCTTGGGAAGACTGACACATGTGCCAGACTGAGTAGACCAAGGAGACAGTCGGTGTCGCGATGTCTCATGAGCGGATGCTGCAGGTACCAGTGAGAAACTTCACCACAGAGGGATGCGAATACCAAACGGCGGGCACTACCAACGTTTTGCAACTCGTCGATGGACGACGCCGAATCGATTGCGACCAGGAAATCAAACCCGTCCGAGTCCGGAGGCCAGCGGTCGAGGTCGTCGATACCTGGCGTCTCCTTGCAATACTTTTGCATGAGAAGCTGAGAAACACGGCTTACGGTGTCGATATGGTGCTGGCTGTGGCCCTTGAGCGGCCGGCAAAGCTCTTGGTTGGCTGCTCCGTGTCAGACGTCGGATCAACAGCCCAACAGCATCAGGCTTCCGTCGCTCCAGTTTTTAGGAAAGTACTTGCCAATCTTCACTATTCCCGCATCGGTCACCAATATGCTGCGGCTGTCGAGCGTGGGATGTTCAAAGCCTTCGGCTTCTAGATAGCTGAGACCGTCTACGACCTACAACGCAGCACACGTCACTCTCGATCCTCGAATGCTTGCTTTCCGTCACTTACCTGACCAACGATGGCACCCAGCTGGCCTTCGTCGGGATATTTCGGGCATTTCGCCAAGTGATAGAGACTGAACGTCGTGGGCTCGAACACGGCGTGCAGAGAGGGGTCTGTCATGTACGCATGGATAAACTCGACAACGTTCCGGTGGCGGAGCCTTCTGAACTTTGACAGAGCCTCTTTCGACTCCAGCAGAGCGATCTTTCTGATGTGGACTTGCCTTCCCTGTCTTACCGCCACCGTCAGGCTGCCCCCGAGATCGTGTAGCTGGAACTCCTCCCGGTAATGTTTCCAGGGCGAGCTCCATTCGATGTCTGACGTCTGGGCCGAGGAATGGGTTTTCTGCGAGCGAACGATATTCTGTGCTGAGCCCGTAACCGTGGCGTCAACTTTTCTCTTCTCTGGCCGTGATGCGATGTGCAAGCTATCGTTCGTTGCCGGCGTGTCGGTCGCAGAGTGTACCCTATGATCCGATGCAGCAGCATTTTCAACGGTATGATGAGCCGGAAAAATAGCAATCTGCGTCTTTCGGTTGGGTTTCATGATGTTTATTCGAACGTCTCCTCCTGTTTATGTGGTGATTTCACGGTCTTTCGATTGTGTATAAGTAGACATTCTGGAAGCATATTTCAGCGATTGCGCAAGGCATGCGGGTAGAACATCAGCTCCAAAACCGGCGACGGAAGAGAGGCAACTCTGTCTCACACGATCAGCTACCCAGCTAGGCTTCTCAACCCGAGTTGTGGCTGGTGATCCGACCATGGCGTCTGCATGGAGGGACGACTGAACTGCTACTGTGCGTATGTTGTTCACCTTGATACTGTAGGCGCAAGAAGCAATTCGCACATCGGCGAATGTCTGCATTCCACTTTCTGAGGTGATTTCGTAGACACAGCCAACTGCGTGGTGCTCGATCGCGCGGTACGCAGTGAAAGGGTGGAAACCTTGCTGCTGATAAAGTTTGGCTGTGTCGCAGAAAGCAGAACAAGGCATGAACTATCTTCACTTATCCAGAACACAGTAGAAGCATGATCAGATATAGTACACGACGGAGCGATGCGCATTCTGGTTACTAAATGAGTCAACGAACCCGGCATATGAATCCCATCGATGTGCTTGCAGCAGTACCAATTGCCACAAGCCACCAGCCCGGAGCCCGAATCGGTTACGAAGAGAGTGTAAGCAAGCAAGACGCTCAATAATCCCCCCGGATGCAACATTCCATCTTGCGACGTAGACCGTTCAGCAAATGTCGATACACCACGCAAAAAACACACGAGACGACAAGCCACCAGCCCGTCACTGTTGTAGTAGTAGCTATTGATGTTGCGACCATTGGCCGCCTGAGCGACGACACCCACGGAACCTGGTCGAACAGAGCCTCTTACACGATGATATGCCGATGCAACCAGCTGTAGTTCGCACGCCACTTGAACCCCAACCATGCCAGACTTATGGACGCCACGCCTGAAAGTATAGACGCAAGAGCGACCGGACAGTCGATGACTCAGGATGAGCCTGTCTGTCCGACCCTGCCCAAGTCTGGCAGAACTTGCAACCGCCTCAGTGACGCGAACGTGTAAGGCAAAGACGATGTAGCCGGCCAACAACAGCCACGAAAAGACTTTCGCTAGGAGGGGCCACCCATACCTCGAGAGAACTGAAGAACGGAAAACAGCATCAGAGAAGCGGATGATCGACGACTCAAACAGGAGCGAAAGCCGGCCCAGAGGAAAAACCCCGAAGCTCATACATACACCGTTCAAAAGCATGAAAAGAAACAGTTTAGAATCATGAACAGACTCTGGTCTATTCCGGTAGATTTTTCCCCTGTGACTGCCTACTCCAGCATGTCTCGAATTGATGTATGCACGCCATGTAGGAATGAGCTGGTTCTTCGGGGCGCGCATATCTGTTCCAAAGAGTTGCTTGTAAACACGTCTAGGAGAACATGCATCGTTGCTAGGTGCGCATGGATCGGACCGCCCAAGCGGTTTATAGTACTTTGACAACCTAGAAGGCGGTGCAGTTTGCCAGATAGCTGATTCTTTCCTGCTCCAATGTCGACCTTGTCGCCCTCAGCAACTCATGCAGCTGATCTGCCAACTCGAAAAGCTCCCGCACCAGGCCAAGCATGGTCCTCCACAGCCGACGCGTCGCCGTGAGCTTGCGACAGAGAGTCATGTTCTCCTGGAGTAGCAGGGGTATGGCCGTGTCATACTGTTCATCAGCCTGCTTCGTGAGTCTCAGCAGCAGGTCATCGAGCTCGAAGGTGTCGGAATAAACGCTTGACGTGCGACGAGGTTCCATCGTTGCTGCAGCACTTGTCTGGTCGCGGTCCGTTTAAGTACTTTGGAGGGATCTACTTCTGGCTTAACGGCTAGAGTTAAGTAGGGTCCGTCGCCCAACCGATTACTGTCATAGCCCTTTCTCCCGCAATCGTGATAATTTGACAGCCGCCGGGCTTGCAGAACGCCAATGCATCGTTCCGCGATAGTTCCTCGCCAATCATGGCTGCAGTCTGGTGTTTACGCCGCCGTTGACCATCACCAAGAAGCTGGATCCAGCCCGATCACGAACACACCAGCGGACGCCGAGCGGTTCGAAAACTTCTGTCGTCGCCCTCTTCCCCAACGTAGTATTCATAGCGTGGTCGAGCGCTTCCTCGCAAGGATTCTGCCCGTCAATGCTGATATATGGAACTTCCCCTCAGGTTTGGAAGCCTTTCTGCGCCATCTGCTGTTATGGGCCGACATAAGCGGGGCTGTATTCTGCGGTAGTCTGATCTACCTAGAGCGGGCTGCGCATCGGGGACAAAAGACTCCGGTGACTGAGATGGGACGGCGTCTTCGGGTCTTGGCGGCAATCATCCTTGCCCAGAAATATCTTGAAGACGACACATACGAAACGCGGTTCTGGTTCGGCCTGACGGCCAGGATGTGTTCGTCTTACTTCACACACGACGACATTAATAACGCTGAAATGTCACTTTTGGAAGATGTCACTTGGGATCTGAGAATACACCGTCAGGAGATGTACCTAATCAGTACGCTGGTCCGCCATCCGGACACTGTCTCTGTGTTAGACCACATGGCGCTCTGACGTCAGCCAAAGACCGTTTTTCAATGTTGGCATGCCCGAACCACGCGTTATAACGAGTGATACATACACGTCAACTGCAATCTCTCCTAGTTGAAGATACTGTAATTACAGCACTACTGTCGTCGAATAGGGAAAAAACGGTGCGACCGTCTCGTCGCAGTAGCTCCAATTAGGGTCGTACTCGTCGGCACAGCGAAAGACCGCGAACGTTGAGGACCGACCCACTTCAAACGACGGCATGAAAGCTAGGGTCCGAAAGACGCTCTCCCCCCCCCCCCCCCCAAATCTAGCGCCACCAGATGCTAGCGCCAGATTTGGCCACAGCCGCCACCCAGTCCTGCCACTTTCTCTTCCTTCTTTCTTCCATCCTTCCAACGAGTCCAGCCCCGACACCCCGGTTATCCCACGAACCTGTCGCCTGGTCTAGGCCTGGTCTAGCCCGGTCCATCTAGGGCCAAATGCGGCCGTTTGCTCATTCGGTGACGTCGGGTTTGATGCTTTGCGTCCCGCCCTACCTCGGCGCTGGATCTGCGGGTGTCAATCTGCTTTTGACCCAGAGCCTAGAACGTGTGTTTACGCAAGTATTGACAGCATTTTGGTGACGTCGTTCTGCAAGGGGTCGACCAGCCTCCTCACATCGAAGCCCCGCAAGCGGCTAGAGAGAGGAGTGGAAAAGAAAAACATAAGTAGGACCGTCATGTCCGGCTTGGACTAAGGAAGTTTCTTGTCGGGCTGGGCCTCTAGCCCCCATCTGCTGAGATGCCGTTGACGCTTTTTCAACGATGCCACTAGCGATGTTGTTCTTTGCTTCCCCGTTGATACTAGTCAGCGATGCCGCCGCACCGGTTCTGCACGTCGTTTTTGCTTTCCCGTTGATACTAGTCAGCGATGCCGCCGCACCGGATTCTGCATGTTGTTCTTTGCTTCCCCGCTGTTACTAGCCAGCGATGCCGCCGCACCGGATTCTGCATGTCGTTTATGCTTTCCCGCTGAGGCTAGCCAGCGATGCCACTGAGTGATGCCGCCGCAGCGGGTTCTGCATGATTTCCTTTGTTTTCCGTTGATGCTCTTCCAACGATGCCGCTGATTCCAGCGATGCCGCCGCAACGGGTTCTGCATGATTTCCTTTGTTTTCCGTTGATGCTCTTCCAACGATGCCGCTGATTCCAGCGATGCCGCCGCAACGGGTTCTGCATGATTTCCTTTGTTTCCCGCTGATGCTGTTCCGGCGATGCCACTGAGTGATGCCGCCGAGATGTTGTTCCTCGAGCGATGCCGCTGATGCTCTGCCAGCGATGCTCTGCCAGCGATGCCGTCTAACGATGTTTGCTTTGTTTCCCGCTGATGCTTTTCCAGCGATGCCACATGTGATGGGGCGGCGAAAATCGGACTCTGCAACCTCCCCGTGGTGCCGCCTGGGAACCTATCTTTGATCAAGGTAGAGCCAGTGCAGAGACGTGACGGCGTGGCGGTATGAGCGCTGGCGAGCACTACGCACAACGTTTTGCCGGTGTGGAGGTGTTCGGTCAGACCTGGAGTGAGGGATTTCTTTGAGTTGGACAGACCTTCTACGCACGCGCCACCAACAGTAATGCCGGCGCGACAACAAATCGAGAGGCCGAACACGAACCACAACAGCTAAGCTGCCTATTTCCGAGCAAACTACGGATAGGCAGGAAACATCCTACGCCACTTTTCAGGGCAGCGATAAGGCACTCTGGCGCTTCCTAGGGAGTCATTCCCCAGATAATTAGTGGGCTGTAACAGATACATTCGAGCAGTAGGCTTTCGTAATTCTTCTCTCGCTGAAAGACCCAAGTTACGATACAAGGTGCGATTTTAGTCTCGTAAAGTCAGCCAAGCTGTTTTAGAGATGACTCGTATTCTATGTATCGTATGTAAACGTGCTGTGACTGATTAGGGACTTTGGCGTCGACGAGACAAAGTAGAGGCATTGCACTGTGTCCTGTCTTATCTTCAGACCACGTACGGAATCCCTTAACATGCTCCGCATAGTGTTTGTTGCCAGTAAATATCAACCGTGTACGCCGATTCGTGGGGCTTGGTGTTACGCAAGACGGCTCTTGCCATCACCTAACGTGATAAATCTTATGGAAGCACACTCTGCATGTTAAATCGTTCTCAGAAAGCTGAAGTTTGGAGCAAATGGTACTGTAAGTACATCGCTTCCTCTTTGGAAATACTCGCAAAACCTCTGATCATGCTCCTTACAGTTTTATGTATCGAGAAAACAACTGTGTACGCCGAATGGTGCTGTATCCGGGGCTTTAGCTGGTGGCCGGAGCCGAAAATGGAAGTTGTCAAGTATAGCAATCCTCTTTGCTGACATGTTCGCACTGTCCTCATACTACACATTAGGATCATGGATGGTCGCAGTCACTGTTGGGGATTTGAGCAGCAGATTATGGCTGTTCCTGTCTATGAAAAGATTGACAGGCAGTCTGTATAAAAGAAAAAGCTACGTTTGTTCGCAAATGTACATCTCCCAGTCAAGGAACTCATCCTCTCACAGACATGCACCCACCAGTCTCCGTCCTGCCAATGGCTTCAATCATCAAGATTCCCTGTTTGCACTGTCACAAGGTGGCCGAGCTCACCTCAACTGACGACCTCGAAGACGTGGATATGATCCGGATTGGGTATAACCTGTTCTATTGCAGTCAATGCGCCAAAACAACTGGGTACACGGAAGAGCACAGCCGCCAAAGCACATCGGCCTAGGGACAGGCTGCCGCCCCCGCATCAACCTTGTCTTCAACCTCTGAGAATAACACAACAAAGTCGATAGAAACAACAACGATTACCTACTATAACCCACTCTATAGTTGCTGTCTAGTGATGATGCTACATTCTACGGGCGATGTATCGTGCAATGATTTTTCTAGGGGAGGACTGGCCAACGCGTTCTGCCGCCTCACGGCACGCACTGGGACAATCTCCCATGGAAAAGGAAGAAAGAAAAAGTAACTACACGGGTAGGGGCCCTAGCTGATCATCATCCCACTGCATCATGACAGAACCCATTCATCTACAAAAACTAAACGGTTCGCCCGGCACACTATGCGTTAAGGTTTGGGCGCCTTCAAATAAGCTACGGTGTACTTCTCCATCTGGCTTGGTGAGCGGTCCGGTATAGCGGAAGCCGTTCCTGTCTGGTTGCGAGCCGCATGCGCAGAGACACTTGTCTCAAAAACCGTTGCACTATCCGCGCTTGGTTTCCGGCGGAGCCAGCACGCGCCACTTGTGCAGTCGGGGCTTTCGCAGTTTTTGCCATCACCACTTGCCAATGAGAGACGTCCTTGGATCGTCCGGTCTGCATTTTGTTTCCAGCCTCCTCCATCTCGAAGACGTCCTGTCTACCGACGTCAAACATGCGAATTGACGTATCATGTCCACCCACACCATCAGCGACGGCGCCATCGGCCATTTCGTGGTTTTCAAAAGCCTGGCTCGCACCCCGGACGGCCCAATCGTTTCCCATACCCCTGTTACGCTGCGTCTCATTGTCGCTGTCTCTTGTTGCTGTGAGAGTGCCGCCATGACCGGCTTTCGGATAGCCGGCCGAAGCAGCGCTGTTCCTGTCGGCAGCGATGTAGTGGGAGACGTCTGCGGCATCGATCTCGACGCCGCCGCCTCCTTGGGTGGCCTGTGCGGGCTGATGTCGCACCTGGGCCCGCTGTGGGTCGCGTCTCCGACTCGTGCTGTGCAAGCCGTTCAGAAGTTCGGCCAACTAGTCCAGAATCGCATCAGTTTCTGCTACCTCCGAGGGTGGGTGGGTGAGTTTCCGCTGGAGCTTACAAATCCGTTCACGTCCGGAATGCTTTGGCCTTCGGGGACGTGTATGGCCCCGTCTAGACATCCATGTGTTGGGTTGAAGTAGACAACAGTCGAAAACACACGGGCCACTTCGCCCAACTGAACCGCTTTCCCTTTAGCGCTGCTGCCGGATTTTCGGACCTTGTCCTTGGCCCTCTTGTCGTGGGTGTATATCGTTCTTTCCGAAGATGCACCGGCCATGGTTTCGTTCATCTGAAATCGTCTCACAGTGAATGTGTCTATCAGGCTTCCTTGGAGCTTCAAACTCACTCTTGATCCCACGATGCCATCGCGCCGCTCCCAGATGTGGCCCTAATCTGGTATAAAGTCATCTTCAGTTTCGTCACGTCCATAAGTTGATCCAGTATGTTTTCGCAATATCTCCAGCACCGCCGGCATCTCCAGCGGATGATGTTCTGGACCTGCTTCCATTTCCCCGTCTTCCATCACTTCGCGTAAGGTGGCACTGTGACCCCGAGCCAGATTTGGCTCCTGGTGGCGTGCAGATCCGGCCGAAAGTGGCTCTCTACGATACGATCCATAACTGGCTTGATGTCTTGTCTTTGGAAGTCATACAGACCCACACGGGTCTCGACTGCAGACCATGGCCCAAGCTGAGCCGCCCTGGGTCGAGAACGTGGTCCATTATTGTCTGTGGACGTCACAGCCGAGGCCTGGCTCAACAGTCTGGACTAGCTATCGTGCCATGTGTTCTTGGCTGGGAAATGGCCTCATCCGCGAGGTGTTTTCGTTTGGCGTGACGTTCTCTGGTCACAGGCTAGATGTGCACAGTAGTTCCCAACGACGAATCTTAGCGATCTTGTCAGCTACCCATTCCATCAGATCTGCCAGCCAGCAGCCATCTCCTCAGGTCGGCATGTCTGTACTCAATACCTCGCCTGCATCATGACCGTTTAGGTTCGTTATTTCCCTCTGTAACATGGTCAATCTTCTCCATGTCGCCATGCGCATCCTATGGAGAGTGCGATACGCAGCAGCGTCGATCGGGGCAGTACCGCTGCGCCGAATGCACCGATAGACGGGAATGCTTCTCGGTCTGGTCAGGTCCCAGTTATCGGACGAGCCATGGACCGAGATCGGACGACACAGTGGCTGAGGTGAACTAGAATACAATTAATTCTGTTCTACTTTGTGTTGAGGACTACTACGTCGACCAAGCGAAATGACGATTCTGCTCGGTGCACCAAATTCATGTAGCCGGCAGTCGTCGTGAGGTGCTCAAGAGCTTGACAGCGATGCGACGTGGAAGGATGGTCTCTGGCAACGACAAGAAAGGAATAAGAGCTGAGACATCTGGAGGCTTCTGATATGGACGCGCTCCTGTCCCTCTTTGTGATGGCCTCACGTCGGCATTGGCGACCTTCCTTAACCACAGCCCCATGAGAGCATCCAATTGACAGCTGCCAGACACAATCGACCATACTTAGCCTGGTCTTTACGGGTGCTGCGAGAGCACAGAGCGACGTGCGATTTCATTCTCGGAAATCAGTAATTTTGAACCGGCGTCGTTGGTCGAAGAGAGATCGCTGGGACACCATGTCACTATTTGGTGGTAAGTCTTGTTGCGGATAAAACCAACAGAACTTTCAGTCGAGGGGTCTGGGAAGAGCCGAGACGCGATTGGTCTCCTAAACAAGGTCGGTTGAATAACTTTTTTGCCTGCATTTTGAAAGCAGCCAGCGTCAGAACGCTAGGGGAGATATTTCTGGACCAGCAGGTTTGTCCGGAGCTATTGAAGCCCTCGTGGGTCTTTGATGCTGCGGAACCCGAAGTCGGCCCTGGAAAGAGCATAGATCGACTTGGTACCCTTGGCGTTGATCGGCGCAAAGGGTTCTAGACTTTCGGGCGAGGGTGACGATCTTCGGGAATCAACCCATTTGACATGCTGTCAAAACAGCCTTGCTTGTTTGAGCCGGGGGGAGGGGGTTGGCCCCACGTGACTATGGACGGATGCAAGACCCTGTCACCCGGTTTGCACAAAAACCCGCACACCTAACAAGGCATTCACTTACAGCGCAGCCACGTTACCACTTAAGACTTACAAAATTTGAATAAAATAATAGTAAGATAGACTCGGTTCTAAATCGTTTACTATGGCTTTTTAAGAGCCCATGGCCTTCATGTTCTGTCCTGTTCTTGAACATAGGCATTCCCGATATTAGGAGGTTTGGTAGTACGCAGTGCTAAAGTGTACGGGTTTTTTTGCAAACCGGGTGCCTGTGCGTCTTGTTGCCACCTGCCGTCTCAGAAGAGGACGACCCCCTGTTAAAGTGCTGACTCGATGGAGTTTTGCGTCATCCCTGAAAAGTGGCTCCATCGGCTTTTGGCCCCGCATGGCTTGCGTTCTTGGTCAAAAGCCGTTAACGTTCACTTGCGACCAAGGAGACGCGCTCGGCTCGAGCCACACGGTCGTTATGCAAGCCCACCTCCCTGCATCTGAAATTGAAAGACAGCGCTGTTCCCCGCCTTTGTTCTGACATTGCTATGTCCGTACGCTAGACCCTTTGAGACGTTGAGACCCCAGATATGCGACCCACCTCGCTTGCGGCTGAGTTTTCTCTTTCCGCATTAAAGGCAGGAAGGGCTCTTGCGCAAGTGTTACGGCCTAACCAGTTAGAGCAGTTGCGGTAACTATATAGTGCAGAGCAAGAGACACAAGCTGGGAAAAGGCCTGGATACAAAGAATATCACTATTCATGCGGGTGCGTGATTACCGAAGCATTTGCTTTGTGGTGCTGTTGGTTGTCCTGACCTGCTCGTACAACAAGCCCCTGGTTCGACCCGACAGCACGGTAACGGCGTAAACCTTATTATCCATAAGTTTCAGGCTCACTGCCAGCCCATGCGGATGTGCGGACGTCGAAATGCGGGGCACTTTTGATTGAATACGAGCGGAAAGTGGGCAGGCCGCAATAAGGAAGTGACAGAAAACGGCTGGAGGTCGGCATGCGCCCTGCTTGATTGCTTGTGCAGAGTCTCAGCCTCACATAACACCATGCGGATTTGCGTTTTTTGTCGCATGGTTTTCTGCCGTAAGTCTTTTTTGCGTTGGGGATTTCTCTATGAAACAACTTTGTGGACGCAATACATAGTATTGCATTCTAGCTATAAAAAGAAAACCAAGCGAAGAAGCATTGATTCATTGCATACTCCACTTCCATCGCGCCTATTGGCCCCATTCAGTCATTTCATCCCAAATTGGCGTCAGGGCTGCGGTCTCCTCTACGGCAACAGCAAGTATGGCCAACTTGGATTCCAACTGGTCAAGTCTACGCAACATGTTAGGCCGCGTCATTCCGATGATGTAATCTCTCAACCTACAGCAACGTAGTGGCTTTAGAATGCTCCTCGTTCTCCTTTTCTATTCTGGCAGCAGCATGTTCGACAGCCTTGATATGGCAATACCAAACGCTGGGAGGCACTTGGAACGGCAGAGACATTGGCATGGGGCTAGAGCTGTTAGCCTTCTGTCGGCGTTCAGTAAGAAAAGGGTTCCCGACCCAGGCACATACTCGAAATTCTGATATCCGCGGTGGTCTTGGCCATGGTCTTGTGGGCCATTGGAATCGTACAGGTGTTCTGATGTTGACGGTATCGGTGGCTTTTGGATGATACTCTCCGTCCAGTCGAAGCCCTCGCGGGCAAGGTCACTGCGACGTTGAAGGGCTTGGTCCAGTTGTGTTGCAGGAATGACTCCACGATGCTGGACCTTGTTCCGGGACTGGTGCGACCGCTGTAATTGGCCAGGCTGTTTAGGACGTGGCCGAGATGGATGCATGATGTCACTCGTGAAGCTGTGAGAGAGAGATAGAAAAAGGGTAGACAATCTGCCGCTAACAATGATAAAAGTCAGCACGCACGATTCTGTCATTTCCCATGCAACCAGGACGATGCTTTAGCCCTTTAATACGGCACTCGACTTAAGCGGCACGATGTCGTGCCCTGATTCAGGAAGCAGAAGCAGACCTCAAGCGTGCCAATTGCATTTGATACCAGCCGGCTGGTACATTGCTGGTCGTCGTTTTTCGTCTTCCTTACTGAGAAAGGAAACGATACCCAGGCTTTGCAGACAACCATCGCCGTTGGAACGAAATGGCGCGTCCAGCAACAACGTCCTCGCACGACTGACTGGGGGCCGACGGTTTAAGCGACAGACTGACAAACGGTCCAACCTCGGAGTTGGTGCCTGGGTAGTCCCCCCCATGCGCCTCGTCAAGATGTTCAAGCCTACAGGCACAAGGGCGCAGCGGAACGACGGAAGATAATCGCGTTCCCTGGTGGGTCCAATCGTAAGCGGGGCCTCGACCGCGAAATCAATTCAAAGTGCTGATCTTATTTAATCGCCTAAAAGTCACATCCTGGTTCCAACACAGCACCTTTCTTTCGAGATACGCGGTGGACTGCATACAAGTAAACTGTTGCAATCGTTTCAGGGACGCCCCTTGATAGGTTGGTGCGCGATGCCATTTCAGAGCCCCAAGGAAGTTCATAGTGATCGGCAAACAGGCGGCGCCGCGACTTTGCTGGTGATAGCACGTCAATTCATGACCTGCTGAACAAGCAAGTGTTGGTTGTATGCCGTCTGAACCGCTGCCTCAAAGAGAACGGGTAGAACAAGTAATTCCAGCTCGAGTGTCCCACACTCCGCCTCGCCTGGAGGGACGTTCCCACCCTCGCAATCAAACGAACTCCTGGCCCTCGCAGTCTCCGACTAAACTGGGATGGCCCTGTTTACCGCGGGGAAAGCCGGACCGAAGCTGCACAAGGCCACGGCTCACACTAGATGAGAAACTGGATACAGCGTTGTCAGGGCTTGCGATTTGATCTCGCGGAGTAGCGCTCGGCACAAGTAACTTTCGGACCGCGCCCAACCAGGCAGAGCACAGTTCGTGTCGCGTTTCTGCCAGATGAATCTAGATGACGTAATCAAGGCAGGCGGTAGCAGGACTACGCTGCTTGCCTGCAATGCGGGATCTAGTCTCCTCGCCACCCGCTTCAAAAAGCAATGATCCTATCTGCTTAGTGGTCACTTTGAAAGAGAGAGCTTTCAAATTCGATTCGCGTACGACAATGGACATGTTCTATGTGGCAAAGCAAGGAAACAGCGACTTTTGACGCAAAGTTATGGACAGTAACAGAGCTAGTCACGGACGGCTGTTGCTCGGGGCTTACTTCCATTTCTTCTATTAGGCTATTGCTTCATGCTATCATCACCTCGCACGACCTGCGTCCTCGTTGTCAATCAGCATTGGTCCTGTTCTAGCTACTTAAGGCGAAAAGGAATCATACCACCGCTCTCGCATTGTCCCTTGTTTTTGCGGTAATAGACGCCCTGAAGGCCTTGGGTCCCACGTTTATGTCCTTGCTCGCAATCCCTAGGAAAGGAGGAGGCGTACTTTTTCGCAACTTCTTTCCACGATAGACCGCAATCGTCGCGAAGGTGGCCAATCAGACTTGTTCCGAGGTGTACCTGACGTTGCAGTGGGGGCGGCTCACTGAGCGGCGGGGACGGCGCGAGGCCGTTGCGCCAGTATGGAGGCTTACGGGAAGCCAGTAGGGAACAACACCCCCGACGGCCAATGATAAGCCTTCGGCCCTATGCTTGTGTTGCGAGGTCGTCTCAGCGAGAGGAAGACCGTTATAGTCCCCGTACGTCGTCTGCGGCATGGATCTTCGGGTCTCGGAGAAGAGAGTGGCGGATTTGGGAAATCTTTCACGAGATCCAATGGGATGAGGTAAGGAGGTTATTGAGTTGGACGGGTCAGCCGGAGGATAAATGTCGTCCAATTCGGGCAGGCGTGGGAGATTGACGTGAGAACGCTTGGGCGAGAAGGACGCAGGGCACAGAGACATGTCCGAACGGAAGCCTTGACGCGTGAGCCGTCTCGTCGTTTGCTACCGTGAAGGGTAGAGGCTCTCTTACCTCCTAGCTTGCCGGTGACGTTGTGAGTTGCACAAGGCAGAGAGAGTGGTTCGCTACTTGAGTAGTCTGTCAAGAAAAAGGTGGTCGCTGTGTTTGCTGTTCTTGACCCGTGACGGTGGCCCGTCGAAGGTGATGACTTTTTGGTATCGTAGTAGACATTAGAGTCCATTGGGTTACCCTCTAGTACAATGGGGGAAGGAACTTGACAGCGCACAAAGAACGTGACGAGGGCACATTAGACCGGAACAGCCTGTCGGTAGCGTCCCGTTTATAATGTTCCAAGTCGGTGTTTCCATGAACCAACGGAGATGATGTGCAGCTTTTTTTTGCAGTTCGGTGTGATATCGGCAGAAGACACATAAAAGGAAAGAGCAGGAGAGCGAGCAAATCGGAAGGTGCAACATAGCCTGGCACCAACGACGTTGTTGTCGATGCAAAACGCTCGACAGGGTCTAGGTCAGTGAGTGGACAAGACTGAACGGGGCACCAACAATGAACAAGCCAGGAAGTACTACTAGTCAACAGCAAATTTAGGTAGTTTCTGTCATGTCTCTGCCGTTTCGACTCATTTCCACCCTTCATTGCTCATTCGGATACTCCCAGAAACCAACAAGTATTGGCGTTACGGAGAGCAGGCCGATCAACGCGACTTTCTATGGCGGGGTCGAGAACGGCGCGGAGTATCTATTCGTTGTTGGTTCTAGGCAAAGAACCCTGGAAGTCAGGGTTCGCCTGGAGGATCCTGGGCATGTAAAATATCCTTGGTTGGCCAGGTCGTCCTTGGCTAAGATTTTCATCCACTTAAAAGCTGTCAAATGACAGGCATCGTTTTTGTCCACTCTTCTTATAGTAACCGGTCGGACCATTCTTGTGGGCATTGCAGCCATTTGGAAGACATTGCCATCGAGCTGGACCAACAAGTAGATGTGTAATGTTGTTGGTTCAACGGGCCATTGAGAGTGGATGCCAATATGGCTCAAATCCGGTTGCGAACGACAAGGGCCGGGATCAGCTTTAAACACGGGCTCTCTGTGGCAGAGGGCGAGCAGAAGTCCCCAATTCAGAGCCGCCATTCGTACTTATCCCTTCGCGGCAAGATCACCGCCCAAACAGAGTGGCTAGCCAGGCCTCGAGTCATGAGACCGGGAACTTCTCGAAAGGGTTTCCCTGCTTGAACCAGGCTTATGCTCGCCCTTGTTCCACTACCGACTTCCGGTTCATCCTAGGTTGTATATCTCACGCCGGCTTTCAAAAGACATCCCGGGCTTTCCGGCGACGTCGTTTCAATGCATCATATCTTGCTACCAACCACGCAGCGAGGTGAGTACCTGTATAGATGCCTCAGGGTATCTCACATCTAGACAGGCCGTGAAACTGAAACAGGATGTGACTGCCGATATCAAGCTGGATGTCGGGAAAGTACACCCTCGTCGGCAATGAGGTTATGAGTCCGCGATTGTGCCTCGGCGACGGAGTGGATCGCGAGACCCATCGTGCTCAGTCTGGCAGTACCGAAAGGATCCTAAGGTGGTTGCGTGGTCAAACACATCTTTTCGAGCCCGTTGCGACATCACACCAGTCTCGTCTTTCCGCTGAAGGGAAAACCCTGCCGGCCACTCTATAATGCAAACATGAGTATCCGTAACCCTACTTTTTTGCCTTCTTCCCTTCCGCAACGCCGGATCAGGGCCGCGAGACAACAGACACCTTCTGTCCCAATGGCTATAAGTGCCCCCGAGCCGTCACGGATCTGTGTTGACCATGTCCGCCTCAGACAGCAATCATCTTTGCCCCAACATTGGCTCTGCAACCAAAATGTCGCAATGTTCGTCCCGGCCGGCGCGTCCGCCGGCAGATTATTCGCCATGTCAAAGACAGCCCTCCACCGTAGATGGTTTTGAACAGGCCGACATCTCGTTAGACGCCCGAGGAACCGGCCGTCGATGTCTCACCAGTAGCTCGCCGACTACGGATACTCCGTTCACCATCCCGAACATGCAACAACTCACGTTGCCGTCTGAAACATTTGGAATCGCTGATCTATCGGCACAATACGTTGGAGATCCTACAACCGGGCACTCGAGGCAAGTTACATGGGCCTACCTCACCTCTGCTCGATGACTGACAGGAAACCAGCTACCTGGCGGATTTCGAGGTACCTGATGCACAGCCAGGTTTTTTGCCCATGTAAGAAACAACTGCAAGAGAGATAGGAAAATACTAATTGACGACAGGGACGATTTCACGGACCGGTTGAGCGCAGTCAGTGGCCAACTAGAACAAGTCATAAAAACAGCAGGACGAGAAATGAGCCACCAGAGGGAGCGGTGAGTCGCCTTGGCCAAGGACGCTTTCAGGATACATTCTTACTTTGGTAGACTTATACGTCTCGAGGCTCAAGTGAAAAAGATCGCGGAGTCTATCGATAGTTCGCTAGGGGAGTCCTTGCCAGGCGGAGGGAGTGTTGGCAATGGGAACAAATGATTGCAGGAGCGCTCGGAAGGATGCCAGAGTAGTTCGTCTCCTCTTTGTCGCGCTCTCCGGTATGGTTCCTGAACTCATGTCTCTGATGGCCATCTCTGAGGCGGATGTCGATGAAGATCGCCAGCCCTACTGTATGTGGCATGCTCATCCAGCAGGCAGCAGTTGGCACAGCATGGCCCTAGCTAGCACATACTGTGTTGTTTGCGGCTGTACATTATGCAACCGGGTCTGGAATCGGCTTCCGCTTTTTCAATATTGGGATACAATTCATCACCGTGGCTTATGGGTCCTCTCGCTAACTGGGTGTGTGGCTAAACACAGAACCGCTTGCTACGTGGTTGACAAAACATCTACAGAAAGCAACAATTGGCTCCTGGCATAAGCCAATCCAGCAAGCAGGACGGTTCTTCGGTGGTTTCTGACTTTCATAAAGAACCGGTGTCAGCTTCTGGTGAGTACTGCATTCTGACCTTCCTATCCCATGTCGGAAAATGCAGCCACAAACTGGCTGCGCCAAAAGGGACTCTAAATTATGAACCAGAAACTGATTTCGGCTAGAATTGTACCTTCAGATCCCAAGTGTGCGTGTGTCTGTCTGTTTTTGGAGCTTTGTGAGTCGTAAGCTGGTACCTACTCGCTCGCCCTTGTCATCAAGCACCTTGGCTTCATGACTCGTCTGGGAGAGGATCAATCACTGCAGCCACGTGAATTTCATGAAGCATATTACAGTAGCCTGTTTCTGCCCGTTCAAACATAGCCAGTACAGTACTTCCTACAAGAAAAGCCACATTCTCTTCGAACTGCAACGCCAACCCATCTTTCACTACCCGTCTTTCAAGTCACAATTACGTTTCACTTTCTGCATACACCGACCACCCGTTCACGGCTCCAAACAGCATTCGCCATGGAAAGACAATCAGTCGACCAAAGCTGCAGCGATGATGACGCATTCATAACCGAATGGCAAGTGCAACGTATCCAAAGACATAGCGTTGTCCGTGATGCAATCTACTACCACGTGGTTTGGAAACCAACCTGGGAACCCGAAGATAAACTTCAACACATGCTACCCGAAGTCCTTGCTTGGAACACTTGCCACGGCTATCCTGAATCCAGAAGAAGACAGTCGAATCAGTTTGACCCCACTCTGGAGCATTGGTCGGGAAGGGTCATCGGGAGAAAAAAGGTGGACGGCCTATCTTACTACAAGATCCAGTGGGAAACGACCATGGAGCCGGAAGCCAATCTAGAGAATGCAAAAAGCCTCGTGAGGGAATATTGGGATACATTCTACAAAGCCTAGCAAAGTTTGAAGGATGTGTAGTAGCTCGAACCGTTTGAGGGTAGTAATCGATCACTTTCAAGTCAAAGCCTACGTTAATTGGGCGTCCACTTGTGACCGTAAGAAACCGTTGGGAACCGTAAGGGAACCCCCTTTGATTGTGTCCAGCCGTGAGCTCAAATCTCGCCCTCTTTCGGCACACTCACCAGATTTCTGGATACCTTCCACATAGTATCACGAGTAGCGCAATTTGACTGTGTAGGTCACTTTGTGTACATGCTTAGATGCACTTGTGTTTGTTTTTGGTGCATTTTGTGATGAACCATCGTTGTTCTAGATTACCATGTTCTTGTTATCACCAAACCTATGGGGACTTTCAAGAGGAACTATAGATGTTTCAAGGTCCTTCAGTTACGTATGACGAACCCGTTTCGAAGCAACATCTACCTCTTCCATATGCCTCTTCATCGGGCTTTTGCTCTCGGCCTGTGGCGACTCCCTTGCTTCAGCAGCCCGTCCGGTTGTGTCTTCTGCTGCGGTCATTGCCAACGCCAGCAGCGGAGCAAAAACGTCGTCCCCGATGCTTGCATTACCATCGTCGGGTGCTTGACCATACGTCTCCTGCAGGGCATCCCCGAACGTTTCGCCCACAAAGCCTGCCTGCAAGTCTACAACGGAATTTGGTGTCTTCGAGCCTTGTAGCGACATTGAAAACGCCGCCGGCGACACGGTACCGCACGACAGCTCCATAGGAGACAGCTCCATAGGAGACATCTCGATAGGAAACATCTCGAGCTCCAAGCGTCTGATACGCTCGTCTTGCGCGTGAATGGTCTGACATTGCGCTTCGATGCGTGCCTTGTCTCGCTGGTTCTCTCGGTAAAGTTGCTGAAGTTGGGCATCTTTGGAGGCGGCATACTCGCGCCAGCGTGAGATGCATATAGTCATCTCGTGTATGATGATTGCGACGAGTCTTGCGGTGAGATTGTCGCCTCTGGCGTTCGATGTAAGCTGAGGCACGTCCATTTTGATGCAAGCTGTGTATCACATGTTGTCGAACTCTATGGCCTGCTGCCGACCAATCACTTCGGAGCTCGAAAACAACGATCGGCCGAGCAAGCGCTCTTGCTCCTCCAAGAGCAGGTTTACACGGCATGGCGAGGCCATCGTGTTCTCAGCCTCGTCAGCTTTGACGTGAAAGGGGCGTACAATGGAGTGTGTAAGGAAAGGCTGGTCCAAAGAATGAAAGCGCGAGGCATTCCGGATGACTTGCTCCGGTGGGTATCGGCCTTTTGCTCCGACCGCACGGCAACGATCCAAATCAACGGGCAGTCGTCTGAATCGCGAAGCCTACCCCAAGCGGGCCTTCCTCAGGGGTCACCATTGTCTCCGATACTATTCCTCTTCTTCAACGCAGATCTGGTGCAGAGACGCATTGACAGCAACGGAGGAGCGATGGCCTTTGTCGACGACTTTACAGCTTGGGTCACGGGGAAGACGGCTCAAGATAACCGCAAAGGCATCGAATCGATCATACGACACGCCATCGACTGGGAAAGGAGGAGCGGCGCGACGTTCGAGGCCGAGAAGATGGCCATCATCCACTTTACCCGCAATGACCACAAGTCCGACCCGGAAGCGTACATGATCAAAGGACGGCCCGTTCAACCGAAGAATCACACCAAGATCCTGGGAGTCATCATGGACACTCGACTCAAGTACAAGGAGCACATAGCAAGAGCTTCGTCAAAGGGCCTCAAGGCAGCGCTGGAACTCCAACGACTCCGAGGACTGTCGCCAGCAACGGCGCGACAGCTGTTTACGGCAACAGTCGCACCGGTAGTGGATTACGCCTCGAACGTGTGGATGCACCGGTACAAGGACAAGCTCATGGGACCGATCAACAGAGTACAGAGGGTATCGGCTAAGGCGATCGTCGGCACCTTTCTCACGGTTGCGGCGAGTGTGGCAGAAGCCGAGGCCCACATACCTACGGCGAAAGAGCGGTTCTGGAGGAAAGCAGTCAAGATGTGGACAGACATCCACACGCTACCGGAGACGAATCCACTCCGCAGGATGACGTCCAAGATGCGAAAGTTCCGGACTACCCACCGCTCGCCGCTGTTTCAAGTGGCTGAGGCTCTGAAGGATATACCGATGGAAAGGGTTGAGACCGTTAACGCGCTTACGTTGCTACCATGGGAAGATAGACTCCAAGTCAAAATCGGTGAGGAAGAGGCAACAGTGCTCGAGACAACCAGCACGGTCCGCGTGGCCGTCAGCAGCTCAGTAAGAGGGGGGATGGTAGGTGTCGGCGGTGCTGTTCAGAAACGGTCGGGGAGAGTCGACGGCGAGCCTGAGCATTTCTCCTTCACACTAGGTGCGAGATCAGAACAGAATCCCTACAGCGCAGAGCTGGCAGCGATAGCATACATGTTCAGACGGTCTCTGCGAGGGGTCACGGGCGAGAAGATCACGGTGGTGACGAGCAACAAGGGGGCGGTGCTCTCACTCAAACAGCCCCTCCAGCAATCCGGACAAGCGTACATACGCAGTGTGTACGATTCGGTGGAGGAACTTCGAAAGGACAACAACACCATCACAGTACAGTGGGTGGCAGCAAGTGAGGAAGACGAACTGCTCAAGCAAGCAAAGAGACAAGCGCGCGAAGCGACCAAAGACGGCGCCACCCCGCAAGTACAGTTCCCCATGATGAAGTCCACGACGCTTAATGTGGCACGAGCAAAAGTGTCCCAAGGACGCGTGCTGCCCGAAAAGGTCGGACGATTCTCCAAAAGAGTCGACAAAGCGCTTCCAGGAAAACATACCCGCCAGTTGTACGACCAGCTTAATTGGAAAGAAGCGACCACTCTCGCACAGCTTAGAACCGGAATGGCTAGACTGAACTACTATTTACATCGGATCGACGCAGCACCCTCGCATTTATGCGGATGTGGACAGGCAGCAGAAACGGTGGAGCATTTTCTGTTCCGATGCACTAGGTGGACAGAGTTCCGAACTGAGATGCTCCAGTGTACCGAGACGCACAGAAGCAACATCTCCTTTTACCTAGGAGGCAAGAGCGCCTCAGACGATGAGAAATGGAAGCCAAACATGCAAGCAGTTCGAGCGACGATACGATTTGTGCTGGCAACAGGCCGTCTAGACGCAAGGCGATGAGAGACGGGATCGGAGGACACCTTTTACACATCAAACCCGACACAACCTTAACCATTTAACAACCCGTGCCACACGCAGCAGGCACCGCTTCAGCCGCCGTAGATAGGACGTTGAACACTTGGAGAATAGGCTTCAAGATGGCATGCTAAAAATACAACCAAACCACGGGAATCCGAAGCGAGACGGCAGACTTGGAGGAGTAAGCAGGAAACGGAGACATCACATATGGGCTTCAAGGAGACAAGGACACAAGCTCAGCAATGTTTATGTACCCAGTTTAGGTGCCCTTTCGGCTTCGCCGCCGGGCGTAATAAATTGTGTGTGTGTGTGTGTGTACAGAAGAGCACGCAGGTGGTTTTACGTTTTCTCCTTATTTGTCCTACTTCTTTGGTAGGCCGAGGCTTTGAGAAAGCAGAGCGTTGAAATGGGTCACCTCATCGTGACCCATCCTGTCGCAACGACGCAATGCTTGTGCTGCGGCTTGGTCATTGCTGACTTTCGATTGTTTTCCCCTTACACTTTACAGTAGCAAGTACGAAGTCATCGCTTATCTTCGATGTGGCGATATTGCACAGTACGCGTACGTACACACGTATCTATGGATGACTCAAGCCACATTGGAATGCAGCTACAAACTGCTTAACAAGTGAACTCACAATTCGATATTTCCCGCATAGCAGGAAGGGTACAGCGAAGTGAAAGCAACAAGAAATCAAACTGCCAGCTTCCATTCAACTATGGATCAATACACAGCCAGTCAGTCATATGTAGGGTGCTCTCCTAGGCACCCAGGTGAGTCGGTAGTGATACTACATCACTTGGCCTTGAATGTATCGTGAGGAGCCATCGTCACTTGGTCAAATCTTGCCTCGAAAATGCTTCTTCCAAAAGCGTATCGACTTCCTCCTCATCACTTGCTTCATCCAAGCATGCCATTCCTTGTAGGTGTCTTCCCAGTTGTTGGACTTGAGCCTGAGGGTGTGGATTGCCTAAAACCATGCATCTTCTGAGAAAGCCTGCTGCAGCCTATAGCCCGTAACAGCCAAAGGATACAAGACGACCAATCGCCTTCCAAGAAGTACCTTGCAACTGTCATGCAACTCGTCATGGTTTTTGCGCTCCATCCTCGTTGTGACAACAGTAGTGATCATTGGCTCATTCATGATTAAACCACTCTTGTTCTGGTATCACTCCAGTCTGCCTGACCCGTGTGGCTGTCAAGAGAAGAGTCAGCTAGGACTTGATAGTATAAATCCACGGTTGGACACACAGGCTATCACCTCTGAGTTTGTCTCTCTTGCCGTCTTCTTTCAAAACCACGCAGCCCATTGTCCTTTTACCAGCGCACTTCTCTCATTCTACTCGTGCTAACTATATCACTCCCACGAGGTCGTCATACTGCAATGACCGGCCTCCGCTACAAGAACTCGACGACTGCTCCCTGGGTTGGCCGGGTCACAGCGACCGTTGGAGTGGTCGCCTCCTGTTTGAAGACTTTACGTGTGTCGAGACCATTGTTGTGTGTGATCTAAAGCATTCTGATCTTTACCATAGTTACCCCACTCAAGAAAATCATAAGAGGCTTCAAGGCTGCCAATAACAACTCCAAAGTATGTCGTAACACTTTACCATCTGTCATCGGTTCAGGTTTGACAAAGGTCAGGATGTCCCTCAGCAGGAACCCCCCTGGTGGGAACTCCATGGTCCCGCGCCTCCAGGGCTTACCCCTCATGGCACACGTCAGAATTGTCACTGAAGGAAATATTCTTGTGCGGGATCTTTGCTAGGACGTCGACTTCTTTGTCTTATACAAGCTCAATGTATCAGTTATCACGTCCAGTATACGACTGGCAGCGAACATGGAAGACAGTTGATTCGCTTCTCGCATGGCTTGGCGGCTCGTCACTTATCGGTACATGCTAAGACTTCCAAAGACCTTCGATCATTGCTTCTCTCTCAATTTTTCTCACCAATTGTACAAGCACCATCGGGATACAGGGTGACGCCGGTGGACTGCGAGTTCTGCGGGGAGACGTGCGTAGAAACCTGGCCTTATCTATAGCTGCGGCTGTTTCATGCCAGTGTTCTTTCGGGGCATGTCAATCTGAGGAGAGGAAAGACACGGAAGGGAAAAGATTAGCTAGGCGAAGTGATTCCGTAAGAGATTTGGCGCATGCTCGGCGCAAAGCCTGTATGGAAGAAAGAAGCGTTACAGAGGGGAGAGGGGAATGAAAGATTGGTCGAACACGGCCCGTCTCAAACCCCTTGATCATCGGATTCACTGCGGGATTCATCGAGATCTCGCAACGTCATATGTGAAGAGTAGACAATAGACATTGGATAGTGACCAATAGGGCAAACTCAAGTTTCCCATGCCTTTCGGACCAGACCGCGAAACCCAAACCAACCCTGGCTGCTAGGATACAGCAAAACTTGCCCAGTCATCTAGCGAACGACTACACATATGTCTCCATTGCTGAACCCCACCTAGAAAGACAAGCGGCTCAATGTTCTTGTGCGGGATGTTCGCGCCAGTCCACCACGCAGTGCTGTCGCGAAAAAGAGTCGACTCGAAGGCATCCATTACAAGACTTTTCCACGAGCGGCAAGACTCTTCCGATGGCTCGATCGAACGCAGGCCGTCTTCGCGCATCCGCTCGAGGAGACTTACCACCCAGTCAACCTGAAGCTCAATGAAGGGCGGTGCGTTGGTCTGCGTTGTCGGCCCTTGCGGCCCGTACAGCATGAATGCGTTTGGCATATTGGGA